GTCTCTAATGAATAAATAAGTAAAATCTTTAAAAAAAAAAAAAACAAACAAACTTGTGTGGAGCTCTGCTGGGACATAAACATTACTCGATACCTCAGTTCAGACTCCAGCCGGGTAGAGAGACCTGTTTATCTCTGCTAACTGTGTTTACTTACTCAAGTCATCCTTTGTGACCCTAATTAGCCAGAGAAGCAGCAGCAGAGAACCACTAGGAGACCAGGGTGAATAAGAATATGCCAAGAGTGCCTGGTTCTGGCTGCTGGCCCTTCGTACCACACAGGGTACTTAGAGGCCAAGTTCTGGCTCTAACCAGGACAGTTTGAGCCCTGAGCCAAAGGTTAGCAATTTCACACTTTCAGAGGAAGCTGCTCCTGATCACCCTAGTTTCTGAGTTCACACAACCAGTAAGATTAAAGAATTCTGTGATAATGATTCTTAGGATTTTTTTTGCTAATATTTGTTCATCTGCCCTATTTACAACGTGCTCTTCTCTTTTAACCACTCTACATGTATTAACACATTTAATACAACCACATGAGCAGATACTATAGGAACTGACACAGAGAGGTTAAGTAACTTAATGGGGGGTCACACAGCTAGTAACTGAAGGCACTGGGATCCAACTACAATTTACATCATTCAGCTAAATCCCAGTATTTTAATAAGAATGTTCAACAAAACATCTGATATTTACATAGAAGACACTGCTCAGGGCGCTATTCAGAAGACACAAAGGTCATGCAGACAGTTCCCACAAAGAGCTCATGGTACAGTTGCAGATATTGGTAATCCTCTCTATGGCCCTAAAATTTTGCTCATTTTATTCACCTACATTGTATCCTTTTCTAACTAGAGAAGACCCTACATCCCCCATGCTATTATCCTTTCTTTTTTAAACAAACAAAAAGGACTACTTTAGGTCAAGAGGGGACCAACTTACTAGTTAACCTATCAACAGCTAGAGAATGGCTAGTGGCAAAGCCAAGCTCGGACGGACGGTGATGTTCCCGTGTTCTCTGTAGCCCTTGGGAGGTAAAGGCCCCCACTAGCTCTTCAATCCTGCTGGGTTCCATCCCTGTTCTCCACGTCTGCCACTCTCAGTGCTCATGCCCGTTTGTTTAGCCCTGCCGACACCCACTCCCTTTCCCGCTCCTGGTGGGCCTGGAGCTGGGGACGAAAGCCAGGGCGAGCTGCTGGAGGCCCTCACCGCGAACGAGCCTTCCGGCCAGGCCGAAAATGCTCTCGACAAGACACTCGCGATCGCTCGCACGGGTAACACAAGGCAGAAGAAAAAGAAAGCGAGATGTTTTCTAGCGACTCAGGGAGAAGGCGAGCCAGCCGCTTGCATCTGGACACCGGGACTGGACGCAGACTGACGGGGAACCGGGGGGCGCGGCCGGGCCCCGAGGCACCCGCGGCGTTCCTCCCCCGGGCGCGCAAGGCCCTCGGCGGGCACAGGGCTCCGACTCCCGCGGGGGTGGGTGACAGGTCCCCGGACTGCGGTCCCTGC